GGGAACTGAGGAGAAAACGGTCTCTCATGTAACGGGAACTGAGGAGAAAATGGTCTCTCATGTAACGGGAACTGAGGAGAAAACGGCTCTCATGTAACGGGAACTGAGGAGAAAACGTCTCTCATATAACAGGAACTCTGCCACTGTGTGGAGTATGTTCTTAGAGAACACTCCCTGAACACCAGTTCCACACCATGTGGTTTGTACAGCAGGTTCTTCTACCAACATGAATGTCTAATGTGATAAGGATTTTCAATAATCTATTTCATGAGGTACTTACTCAGGCACAACACCATCCCGAATGATACCATGCCTGAAATATCACAGGGTCCAGTACTTTAAAACTCTCCTCAGGTCAAACCACCACTCTCTGTTTCTGGCCTCAGCCCAGGCAATGCTGGTTTGTAACTGTGGGTGGAGGAAATCACAGAAATGACGGTGTGCCGGGTGCGTTAGAGGATAAAGGATGAGAAAGCCAATGGATGTGTGTTAGCCAACACTCCTCAAGGAAGTAATGTCTCAGAAGAGAGGTGTGTGGTTGTAGAGTGAGATGAGAGAGTAGACAGTGGCTTCATCTGCCTTTCCAGAAGAGAGAGGTCAGGGCCTTAACCAGTATTTTAAGGAGGGAAGTGGTGAACAGGCAACAGTCCATGAAAGAGATGTGGGATTGAACGAGAATGTGGATTAAACCCCAAAGCAGGATATGGTCCGATAAATGTTCACTGGGAGAATGGTAATATTATCGTCAAGATACTAAAGAAGAAGAGTGCACATTTGGTTAAGACAATAAACAAGGTTATCTTCCATTTCCCTTTGCTGGATTTGGAGTAACAATGGAGCATGGAAACGGAATGTGGGTTTGGGAATGATGTACACAGAAATGTTGACCGGCTACAGAATGAGGCAAAGGTCTCCAAAGAAGAATGAACAGAAGGAGCACCAAATGCTCTTGGTGCCATCTTGGGAAACACGAACCCAAACCCGACCCCTGCTCTCGAGCTGATTCCGACTTACGGTGACTTTCCCTTTGGATGCAGCTTAATCTGGATCCCACTAAAGGCTTTCCCTCCATAATCCCACACTGTCCTTGAAACTTCAAACCAAACCCACTGCCATCCGGTGATTCTAACTCACAGCGCCCCTAGAGGACAGAGTAGAACTGGAGCATAGGATTCCCAAAGCTGTGAATCTTTACAGAAGCAGATACTGCCTCATCTTTGTCTCATAGAGCAACTGGGGGGTTTGAACCACCAACCTTTTGGTTAGCAGCCATATGCTTTCTGGGATTCATTCCTATTTTTAAGACGAGAGAAAAGAAGCAGTTGAAAGGAACAGAAAGAGATCTAGTAACATTTAAGAACCTTAAAAGGATATTAGAGCATTCTTCGCAAAAAAATAACCCACTTACATGCGTGGGTTGAGGCAGACAAAAAAGTCTAAGACCATTTAATACCTAATAGCACTTTCAAAGTCTTTACCTAGAGTCCTGTGGGCAACCTGATGTGAAAAGCAGAGATCAAAACAGTAATAAAAAATGGAGCCTGGAAAATGAGACCCAATGAAGCAACAACAACAAAATAACCTGGAACTAGCTGAGATATGTGGAGATACTGTTCACATAAATCATACATATAAACATACAACGGTATATGTACAACTGCAGTATGTACATACACACAAGGTCACCCATGGTGGACAGGTGTCAGCAGACTTTCTAGACTAACACAGACCGGGAAGAAGGAAGAGGCCATCCACTTCTGAAAGAACTGGCCAGTGAAAACCTTACAAATAGCAGTGCAACACTGCCTCATAGATTGCTGGACAACTTTATGAAGATCCCTGAAACATTGTTTGATACAGTGCTGGAAGATGAGCCCCTCAGTTCAGAAGGCACTCAAAATACGACTGGGGAAGCGCTGCCTCCTTAAAGGAGAGTCGACCTTAATGACGTGGATAGACTAAGGCTTTCAGGACCTCCATTTGCTGATAAGGCACAACTCAAAATGGGAAGAAACAGCTGTAAATATCCATTAATAATCAGAACATGGCATGTACAAAGTATGAATGTAGGAGAACTGGAGGTTTTCCAAGATGAAATGGAACACATAAAGATTGGTATCCCAGGCATTAGTGAGTGGAAATGGATTGGTTTTGGCCATTTCAAACCAGACAATCATATGATCTACTATGCTGGGAATAACAAATTCAAGAGGAATGGTATGGCTTCATCATCACAAAGGATGTTTTAAGATCTATCCTGAAGTACAGTGCTGTCAGTGATAGGATAATATCCATACACCTGCAAGGAAAATCAGTTAATACTACTATTATTCAAATTTATGCACCAACCACCAAAGCCAAAGACAAGGAAGTTGAAGATTTTAACCAACTTCTGCAGTCTGAAATTGACCAAACATGCAATCAAGATGTGTTGATTATTACTGGTGATTGGAATGTTAAAGTCAGAAACAAAGAATCACTAGTAGTTGGAAAATATGGCCTTGGTGATAGAAATGATGCCAGAAATGGCATGATGGAATTTTGCAAGACCAAAGACTTATTCATTGCAAATTCCCTTCTTCAACAACATAAATGTCAACTATAAAAGTGGATCTCGCCAGATGAAATACACAGGAATCAGACTGACCACGTCTGTTGAAAGAGATGAT